CCCAAAAAAAAAAACAGTGCAAAACAAAAACGAGACATACCTTGACCAGCATCAGTTAGATCAATTAAAACTTTAAAAAAAGAAAAGTCGGAAGTCCAATCTGATTCACCAGCAGATAAACTTGTTGCCCAACCTGAAAAGTTCACAAATTTTGCAGAATAAATATTCAAAAGAAACCATTTCAACAAATAGAACTAGATTTTCCGAAGGACCACGAGAAGAAAGAAAGAAAGAAGTCACAAGCACTAGAAAGAAAGAGAAAGTACTATACATACATAAGTTAGATAATTCAAAAATAGGCTTCAGCTTAAATTAACTAAATGTATCCTGTTAGTATTTTCCTTGAACAAATATCAGCTTAAATTAAAAACGTATACAATTGGTAATTTTCATTGGACAAATATCAGGAAGTGAAGAATTACTGCAAATCTATAGAAAAATGTCAGCAATGAACATACTTGCTTTTTTTTGATTGGTAAATTTTTATATATGCTAGTAAATAGGGAGTAATACCTACAGCCAAAAACTCCATAAAGAGAGAAAGCTATCTTGTTGTCTTTCTAAAAAGTTCATAGATAAGAAGTCAAGGAAAAAGCAAAAGGTAGTCTCCACCTTAACTACCCGGAAAACTCCACCGAAGACAAAGTGGGGCAACTACCAACATAATTATTTTCCTCTAACATGAACAGCAGCTAAGTAATAGTCCCTATAGTCATTTAACAGAATACGGCATAACCCACTATAAACTGCACATTTCTAAAAAAAACATAGTTGTCTCTGAAAACTTATTATCGAACACAATGGCACAAGTTATATGTATTTCTATATGCAGCAAAAAGTATTATCAAATGCAATGGTCTACATGTTTCACCTTTTCTGTCATCGGAACTTGGAGAAAAATTCTAAGGTCATGTCACAATAAATACCAATGCATTCAAAAGATTTTGAGATAATATACAAGGCAAAAGGCAGGCAACGATCTGTAGACGGGGAATAAAAATGTAGATTCATGGTGCTGCTTGCTACAACTCAGTAGTTTTGACTTCCACATGTCTAGATTCCAGAACACAACATGCCACATGAGTTTCCATGGTATCATTGATTTCCTGTGACCATGTAAAATATCATATAATGCTAGATTGGTCCAAATCAGTGTTTCTCCGAAAGGAATGACCTTTTTCATAAAATAAATGAAGCCCATAATTTTTGCATTAGTCAATGAAATACTAAGCTAAATGCCTAAACGTGCTATTAAGTTTCTCCAATAATAGAACGAAGTTGTACATATATCTCCAGTTTGCAAATAAATTGTTTTTATAGCATTACGTTTAGCAGACATTAACAAGGTTTTTTCTTCTCTCTTTTTGCCATTTGCAAGTGTTGGGTGTCTGTCTGTCTGGGAGCAGAAGGGAAAGGAGTCCTGAACACAAAGGAAGTCTGAAACCCACCTAACTTCTTTAAGACATAAAACAGAGATCCTTCTCCTTCATGGCCAATTAAATGACCCAGATACCTGCTTGCCCCTTCCTTGTAATGCCGAATGCCTGGAGTTATCGGCCATGAAAATCTCAACTTGTGACCTTGTTTTATTGGGACGGTTTTCACAAGAATCTGATCACACAAATTGGGAACATATTGTTAAAAGCAAGAAACCCTACGCAAGATTTAAATACAAATCAAATAATGTGTATCGACACATGTTCCAGTCATTTATATTCTTCCACAGTAAACAAGAAGGGAAAATGCCCATAATTATAACAGAACAACATTGTGAAGGATGAAAATAACAATTAGCATTCTTTCACAAATGTTCCCACTTCATAATTACCTAATACAGGGGTAAAATTACTAAAATCTCAGCCGAACATCATACTCACCTTTAGAAACAGACAAATATAGCACTACTTCCATGGCACAACTACTTATACTAAGAATTTTATAATCTTATAGAGCAATTCAACAGTAATCTCCAATGTGGCATAATAAGAAAAGTGTTATTAAACAGAGCTGTAAAACCTGATTCTAGTGAACTTTGCATAAAAAAAAAAATATGTGGCTCATTATCAATGTTTCTAACATTCCATGTGATGTATGACAGCTCAATATTGGCTTCCTTGAAATATTTTTTCTCCTAACTGATTATACTAAACAATGTGCTGCATAAACAGCATGTTAAAAAGACAGTAATCTAGCAGCAATAAACATCAAACAAAATGGAAACAACAGCGACAAGAGTGCAAACAATACTTTTAAGACAAATTTATTCTATTTTTCCCTCGAAGTCACAAGGTTTCTTTCAAAAATAACATTTCTTCATTAAAATTGTTCCTTTGGAATTATAAATAACTAAAGCAGATAAAATCCATTGAAACTCAAAAAGGAATTTGTCTGGAAAGTTGCCGGAAGCACTGGCCCCAACAGGGTTCAATCACCCTCTCACTATATTGCTTATGTCAAAAGACCTTAAAGAATACAATCACATTAAATTGATGCAATACCTGAAGATGTTCGGGAGTGCAAGGCTGACCAATAAAACTGGCACAAATTCGATTAGCATTGCGGATTTCCTGGAACTTTTTTTGCACCAGGCTTTGAGATATATCAAGGCTATCTGAATTCATCCAAATTAGAAGTTTAGTCAATTGGTACTCTAGCTCCGCCTAAACTAAATAAAGGCCAAAGTTTCCATTACCTTTAGCATAAACAACCAGATGCATAAGGTTGGCTGAATAATTATTGTCATAGAATTGTAGAAGCTCTTCCCTTGTGTCCACGAATCTTGCTTTTGGCTGTACCTCCAAAGTATCCCAGTTCCCTATGTATAAAAAATGATGGAAACAAAAAAAATAAGAACAAATTGTTCTGAATTTTGGCAATAAATTAACTCCAATGTCCATATGATCATTTGGTCAAAATGTAAAATGTGTGACAAAAAAGATCAAGACTGTAAAGGGTGTTAAAGGTTCCTCCTTTTAGTATGGAAATCAAAATATCACCGTAAAGCATAATTACTTCGTTTTCTTTCTTTCTTTCTTTCTTTTTTCTTCTTCTTCTTCTTTTTTTTTTTTTTTGTGGGGGGGGGGGGGGGGGGGGGGGGGGGGGATAGTCAGCCGTTAATCTTAAAGGAGTAGAACATCCCCCCCAACCCACCACACCCCACATCTACAATGCAGACTTCTTGGTCCATGAATGCTCAATATTAGTCATAAGATAGTATTTTTAAGTGACTATGTGAAGAGGGAAGAAAATTCAACCAATCGCACAATTGTTATGTTATGGAGACAATGACGATAAATACTTTTGAAGGACTGCCAGCAAAATAATTTGAAGAGAAATGACGTAAAATGCTTATGTTCCAGGTCACAGAGAAAATGCTATATTCTATATTATAGAACTATGCTGCGGAAGATACCAAGAATAAACCCCAACTATCAAGACCAAAATAAATAAATAAAGAAGAGAATATCGAGAAATGGGAGGAAAACTGGTTTCTCAAAAGAGCATAATGTACAAAGAACATCTTTTGAGAATTAAAAATATTTTACCAACTTGTCAAAAGAACAGGATGAGAAGGGGGGACATACTTAAACCTAAGAAAGTGCTATTCTATTGATGGCCCAGTTGGCAGTGGCATTAACAGCAGAGTGGAAGATAAAGGTTGAAGAAGGATCCATGACCCACACTATCAATCTCTCCTCGTAAGGTCATTCTGAAGTCTACAAAATTTTCTTTGCTAATTTAAAAAAAATAAATAAATAAATAAAAATAATAATTGTCCTTTTTTTTTAATGCAAAATATCAACACAAGTGAGTTTCAGGTGCCATTAGGGAATGCCGATGGGGGTATGGATACCCCAATTGTTTATATAAAAACAAAAACCTCGAGGGCACGGGGAAGGGGGCATAAGCCTGATCTTCCATAGCAAAAAGATGCAACAAATGAAGTGAAGAAATAAAAGGGTAAGTACTACTTACGATAAAATGAAAAAAAATAAAAAAAATTGTCTTGAAGCTGGCAAAATAGATAAAATCTTTAGGTTTTGTGAGATCCCTCATCTATAATTAAATAAACAGAAAAAGGTATCAGATATTTGCAGCAGGGACAGGTTAATATGGTACATAGTACACAATTGCAAAAATCTGGACAAGATATTATATGTACAAAGGCTTACTAAAGTACATAGTACACAAAGTTGCAAAAATCTGGACAAGATACTATATCTACAAAGGCCTCATCAATCAGGCAATTGGAAGGAAAGGTTTTGTGAGATCCCTCATCTATAATTAAATAAACAGAAAAAGGTATCAGATATTTGCAGCAGGGACAGGTTAATATGGTACATAGTACACAATTGCAAAAATCTGGACAAGATATTATATGTACAAAGGCTTACTAAAGTACATAGTACACAAAGTTGCAAAAATCTGGACAAGATACTATATCTACAAAGGCCTCATCAATCAGGCAATTGGAAGGAAATATTGATCAAGTAGTAAACAGTAAGAAACGCTAGTGAAATTGGATCGCTGTGGGTGCAACTGCTAGAAAGAACATGAAACAAATGAGTAGGATAAGATATTTCTCTAGAAAGGCCTCATCAAGCAGGCAATTGGATGGAAAATATTGACTTACAAGTGAACACCAAAAAACCCCAGTGAGATTGGATCACCATAGGGTGCAATTGCAGAAAGAACATGAAACAAATGAGTAGAAGATTTAAACAAGAAGAGCATCGGCCTTTTACAAAATATTGAGCTTTTAAGTTTTACATAAGTCATGATTTTAGATACTTGGTAAGATAATTTAACATTTAAATCAATCTAAAACAGCTGCGTAGCATGATGTAGCTAAGCATTGAAATGCAAAGTAAAATTAAAATAAATAATAATCATAAGGTGAACCTGTGCTGAACTTATGGTATGGATGATCTTTAGCACTTAGGTGTTTCTGAAGCTGCACATGTACATAATTTCAAAAATCGGTCAGTTCTTTACAAAAAATTCATTGATGCATAAATATGTAACAATTCCTCAAAATAATAAAAATATACCAATTTCATATGGAAACAGCAGAAAGGGTGATAATCCTAGAAATATTTTACTCGTTGAGTTTCCACTATATGACATCTTTTTTAAGTTTCTACGAATAGTTTGAGAAAGATCAAACTGGTTAATTACAGTTGTACTTCCTACAGGCTACCCTATGTAGAACTCTAGTTTTAAATTTAATACACGGTTTGTGAGGTACG